GCTCACCTCCGCGGACTGCGACCACACGAGCCCGCTGCAAAATGGACACGGCGGCCACGCCCTCTGCCGCCGGCCGCCCCGCGCCTGCGCAGAGCCCTGCTCGTCCCACCTCTGCTAGCACTCCCGTGACTGCGACAGGAGATGGGTTTCGATTCTTGTACTTTTGGTTGCTGATCCTTGAATTTGGGGGAACAACAAAAATAAAACCGAACCCTTCACACCGCTTTGCCTGCGTGTCAGGACCCGCGGGCCCGGTGATCGCTAGGTCGAACACCATTGGCTAAACTGTAGGAAAACACTACTGAGGTTCCCCTCCGAGGCAAGAAAGAACTTTTAAGGTTTTTTTGTTTTTGTTTTTTTTGTTTGTTTGTTTGTTTTTAAGTATCTGTCGGTAGCAACTGCCCTGACTATCCTGACGTCCACCTCCTATGCTCCTATGTAGGGGCTCTGTATGGTTACAAAGGATGAAAAAGGTGGCTCCTACCCAAACTTCAAAGCCCGAGGAAATGAGGTAATGCCGGGTGAGAGTGCCAGAGGAGAACGTGAACTTCTGCTTGGGAAGGTCTGGGCTTTTAGGAGGGCAAATTTGGAAAAAGTGCATTTCCGGGTCAATAAAAAGTCTTTTCACCCCATCGCTGTCCCAGTGCGTATATCCCCAGCTGCACCTCTTCGCAGAACAAAATCCCTGTAATTTCTAGCTTAGTCCTCACGAGAGCATTGTACAGTGGAGTCAAGAGCCTTATCCTTTAAATGAACAGATTTTCTGCAAGGTAGAAAAACAAGAGACAGCTCGGAAGACATCAAATTCCATGGACAGGTTCTTTCCTACAGCACCAAAATCGTCAGTGCAAATAAAAACTTCATTCCAGACCAGTACAAAATTAATGTCACTGCAAATATGCTGGCACGTGCCTTAGATTCCAGGGCTTGGAGGCTCCAGCAGGCACACGTCTGTGAGTCGAGGCCATCTCGGTCTACAGAGTTTCAGGACAGTCAGAGCTACAGAAGTGAGACCCTGTCTCAAAACACAAAACAAAGGCTGAATGAGGCTGAGGGTGTGACTCAGTGATAGAGTGCTTCCGGCGATTTCAGACCCTGAACTGATCCCCTGAATGACAGGAAGAACGCTGAATGTTATAGAGGTAAAATATAAAAACATGTTAAAAACTACAAGTATCATATAATAGTATATAACCATTAGAAAGACTATAAAGAGCCAGATTAAGAGTGCTTGCCACCAAGGATGCTGACCTGAGTTCATTTCCTGGAAACCACAGTAGGTGGAGAACCGATTATTAAAATCTTCTGACCTCCACACTGGTGCCGTGGCACTAGCATGACCACACTCATGCACACATTAATAATCATAATCTTTAGATAAAGAAACGAGGCATTGCTCCACGAATCAGAGTACAATGGACTGGGCAGTTAGTGAAGACTCAAGTTAAAAGGTATACTGTAATTTCAGTTTTGAAAAGAAATGTAATTGGTAGAATGTGGGTAGGAAAAAACATATATAGGAATATGTGCCAAATTCTAAAAAAAAAAATTATACTAAATGTGAGACATTATCAAAATCCATTCAGTATTTTGAGACAGGGTTTCTCAAAACCTGAATGGCTGTCCTAGAACTCTCACTCTGTAGACCAGGCTGGCCTTGAACTCACAGAAATGGTCTGCCTCTGCCTCCTGAGTGCTGGGATTAAAAGTGTGTGCCACAAATGCTCACTTCATTTAGTATTTTTGTTTGTTTGTTTGTGTTTTTGTTTTTTGAGACAGGGTTTCTTTGTAGTTTTGGAGCCTGCCCTGAAACTCACTCTGTAGACCAGGTTGCCCTCAAACTCACTGAGATCCACCTGCCTCTGCCTTCCGAGTGCTGGGATTAAAGGCATGTGCCACCATTGAATAAAATCATTCAGTATTTTAAAAATTATTTTGTTGAGTGTTGGAGGCAAAGGCAGGGGTCTTAAAAGCTGAAGGTTGACATGGGTTGTACAATGAGTAAAGCCTGCATGAGACTCTGAACATATATAGGTCTATTCTAAATCTGTTATTTTGTTTTGTTTTTTGAGACAAGGTTTCTCTGTGTAGACCTGACTGTCCTGAAACTCTAGTTCTAACTGTAGACCAGGCTGGCCTTGAACTCACAGAGATCCGCCTGTCTCTGCTTTCCAAGTGCTTGGATTAAAGGCGTGCATCACCACCACCTGGCCTGTTTTTTTTATTTTTTTAATGTTTAAGTCTGGGTATGGTGCTACACCCCTTTAATTCCAGAACTCAGGAGGCGGAGGCAGGCATATTTCTGAGTTTGAGGCCTATCAGGCCTATACAGCCTCAAGCAAATAAATAAAACTTTGCATTCAGAATCTATTACTTTTGAAATGTAAACAAAAAAAGAAAGCAAGGTAAATTTGTGAAAGAAACCAGAAAAAAAATTAAATGGAACAAATATATTATATATATTAAAACTTCGCTGAATGGTTCACAAAATAAAGGCCAGGTTTTCAAAAATAGATCAATCACACATCTATAAAAATATAAATTAGCAATAATCCTGAGGAAACCAGTTCTTTATTACTGATAATCAAATGCAAAACAAAGCATTGATACAGCCTTTTAAAATTCACTAATGTGGCAGAGATTTCAAAATCTAATGAGTGATCTTCTGTGTGGGCACAGGAATAATCTTGGAACCAGGAAGAAGAAACAGGAAAAGGCGGCATAAGTGGGGAGAAAACCAGAATGCCTAGTGATGAGTACAGCCTAAACTCTGACAAGAACAGCAGGTCTGTGACTACAGGGAACAGTGATGCCTGGGAACGTCAACGGGTGGAGCCCATTGGCATCCCTGCTTAAAGAGAACAGTGTACTTGCCTAAACGTGAGACACCCCAGAAATAGTGTACACACACAGATCTGTTCTTTTTCAAATTTAAATTTAAAAATTCAGAAAGAAGAAAAGGAGATTGAGCCTCAAAAATGACTAAAATCTTCCAGTTGTGTTACCGATGACTTGAGAGAGAGAGCTCTTGTCTGGAGCTGGCTGGAAGTAGGTATGTAACCGTGAAGTATCAATAGGACACGCATTTGGGGATATCGTAGTGTTCAGAGTAAAGACCAGCTCCATGGCGGCACTTGGAAAAGTATCCCCGAGTGACTGCAAGGTCAGAAATAGAGCCCCCTCTCCCGGCCCAGGCCAGAGCACTAAGAGTCTTAATCATCTCAATGATGGCCAAGACTCCAATGTATGTATTCCTCATATAAACTGATAATGTAGAAATATCTATCCTTCATGGACTGTCTATATGTGTTTATGTTTTTTATATCATTTACTCAATACTAAATTGGCTTGTAAGTGCCCATGTAAACAAAAGTTGTTAAGCTGGCCCAGCTTCCTTTTGACTTATAGTAAAAGTAAAATTTTAAGGGAAAAAAAATTCCAACCCCAGTTGTCCAAACAGGCTAAGTAGCTTGGCCACATGTCCAGTATGCTGATTAACGGGATAAAATAACAGAAAAGATAATTGTATTAGTCAGGGTTCTCTAGAATCATAGAACTTATGGAATGAATCTCTCTCTCCATATATGTGTGTGTGTATATATATGTGTGTGTGTGTGTGATATTTATATGTGCATATATATTATATGTGTTTATATACATTTATATGTGTGCATTATATATAATGAAATTTATTGGAATGACTTACAAGCTACATTCCAACTAATCCAACAACAGCTAGCTGTGAATGGGAAGTCCAAGAATCTAGTAGTTGCTCAGTCCCGTGAGGCTGGGTGTCTCAGCTCTTCTTCTGTATATGCTGGAAGCCAAAAGAAGTAGGCTCCAGTGCCAGTGCAGGAATGGGTGCGCTGGCAATGGAGGGAAAACAAGCACTGTCCTTATGGAGACTTCCAGCAGAAAGTATGGCCCAGATTAAAGATGTGTCTTCCTATCTCAAGATCTGGATCAAAAGCATGTTGTCTTCCTGTCTCAAGATCAGGTTCACAGGCATGCCCTCTATATCTGGGTTGGAGTTCATCCCAGATATAGTCAAGTTAACAACCAAGAATAGCCATCACAATAACCAATATCAGTATCAATAATCAATATGACAACTTTGGTAAAAACCAGTAGAGGTGGTTAATGGTCCTAGATCATTCTTTGGGGATGATGTGGGATATCCTTCTATATATGTGTGGCTTTTATTGGTTAATGAATAAAGCTGCTTTAGCCTATGGCAGGGCAGAATATAGCCAGGCTGGAAAGGATATAGAGAGAGTAGACAGAGTCAGGGAGACGCCATGTAGCTGCGAAAGGAGAGAGACCTGGAACCTTGCTGGTAAGCCACAGCCTTGTGGCCATACACAGATTAATATAAGAGCTAGCTAGAAATATGCCTAAGATATTGGCCAAACAGCATTGTAATGAATACAGTTTTTGTGTAATTATTCAGGTCTGTGTGGCTGGGAAATGAACGCGCAGTCTCCATTTACAAAATGGCACCCAGGGTGGGGCAATGTACATCCACATAAAGCCTCAAAAAGCTTTTTTTAAAAAGGGGTGCTTCTGGACCCACAAAAACAGGAGCCAAGTGCAGCTTTTTGGTAGCTGCATCTTTTTATTTTCAAATGGGCTCTGATAGGCTGTATTTGTGGGCTGCAAGCAGAGAAGCAGCTCCTTTTAAAACGGCTTACTTGGTTTGTACTGGCAGCACAAACAGCCCTGGCCCCTCAGGAGATCCAACTGTAGAGCACGTAAATGGAGCTTGTGAGCTTAATGGCAGCATAGACCTGCGTCCCTGGAGCTGGGGCAGGGAGTACGGCTTGCAGAGGCAATAAAAGAACCTCCATCACATTTTAGACCAAAAGAGGCAGAGCCAGCATCCAGGGCTGCCACGGCCACACTACTTACCATTTTCAAATGCTCCTTGTCAGAGAAGGATTTCAGATACATAATAGGACAAATTCAGACATAAAAGATCCCTAAATGAGACACAATGTGTTAAAAACAAATGTACATAGACTTGGGAGAGAGAAAAAAAATATAGACAGCTATAAAAAAAAGTAAATGGTTTAAAAAAAATAAAACAAAGTCTTTAAAGAGACAGTAAAATATATAAAAGTACAGACAGGCATAGATTAAAGGAGTAACAAAAATAAGCCATATAAAGATAAAATATACACAGAGAGTCGACTGCAGAAAAACATTTAATTCTGGGGGCTGCGAAGCTAAACCAACATAAAGGTAACTTGAATTCAAAATTTGGGTCTAAGGATACGTTGCTTTGAGAAAGAGGTTCTGCTTTTGTTTCTACAAAAGATGAGAAACTGTGGATTCCTTCTAGGTTAATATGGTTTAATAAAACAAGACCCCCTGAAAGGTCTCCATAAACCCTAAAAATACTTCACCCAACAAACAGAAGAAAGCAGTTTGAAAAAAACTATGACCAAGTTCCCAAAATGATTGTTTATAAATGTTTATTTTCATTTTAGAAGAGTTGGTTGTAAATATCTAATGGTCTATGTGAATTTCTAAAAGAGAAAAAAATATGGGGGGTGTGATACAGAAATGAATAATTTGCATTGGTATGGACTTTGGTTTATTGATACAAATTTAAGGTCAATTTTGTTATATGTATATTTCTACTCTTGCTTAAGGTATTATGTGTTTGTACAGCTCATTTAGAAATACAATGTATAATTTAAAATATGGATTAATAGTCATTTATAATAGTCAAACTTGTAGTCATGATAGTTAGGTTTTCTAGATGTAAAGAGATGTGGAGGTATACTAAGAAATATGGTATTTAAAATGTTTTTAAAACTTAGACTTTTCTCAATAATGAGCTATGTCTGCTTCTAGCAGCACCAGTTCCTTCAGAGAGGCTGATGGGCCGCTGGGAAATGAAAGAACAGTCTCTGATTACAAGGGAAATTAACATGAGTTTTAAAATTTAAATGTAAAACTCTTTATAAAAGATGAGATGCACAGCTGGAGAGATGGTTTAGAGCACTTGTT